CCAGTTTCTCCAGGAGGATGCTGTGGGAAAAGGCGTCAAAGTCTTTACTAAATTCTAGGTATGCAACATCCACAGCTTTTCCCTCATCCACTAACTGGGTCAGAGATGAGGTTAGTCAAGTAGGACCTGCCTTTCATAAAGGCCTGATCACCTGGTTGTCCTGTACATGCTGTGTGATGGCACTCAAGATGATCTGCTCCATACTTGCCCCACACCGAGGTCAGACTGACAGGCCTGTAGTTCCCTGGATCCTCCTTCAGCCCTTTTTGTGGATGAGCATCACATTGGCTAACCTCCAGTCAAGCAGGACCTCTCCAGTTAGCCAGGACTGCTGATAAATGATGGAAAGTGGCTTGGTGAGCACTTCCACCAGCTCCCTCAGTACTTCAGTTTATCATATTGAAATCAACCTTTAATTAAGAGGTGGGGACAATGCAGATGACAACTCTAAGGTGGTAATTGGTAATCGGAGATTGTCCCCGACACCTTTGGTCTAAGTCCTGGTCTGTGCCTGTAGTCCCTTGACCTACCATGGATGTGGCAAAGTAGTTCTGTTTACCCCCCCCATCATTCCTAAAAACCTAAGCAAAGCAAGAACCCCTTTGGCTGGGTTTCTCAGGCCTCTTGAGAGGGATGCTATTTTCAGCAGATCTGTGTTTTTGTAAGGTGTCTTACAGTTCTGGATGTGTCCTTTTTGTGTATTTTCATACAGTTGAAGTAATTATTCTTCTTGCAGTATTCATTTTTATTGCATGCTAAAAATGTTATTCGCTGCTTATTTTGATTTGGATTGTTTTAGTGCATACAGCTTCCCTTTTAATGATTTTTTTCTTACACATTTGTATATGCATGTAAATCAATGTGAATAAGCTAAAAGAGTATGTATAGTCTCTTCTCTTGCCTTTTTTGAGATGATGCTATTAATGACTTCTTGTTAAACAATAACAAATTTAAAGCAAAATAACGTGGTCAGAGTTTTCCAAACAGGAGGCACTCTTTGCACTCCCTCTGCCCTTGGACCACAGACTTCAAATCATTTGGAGAAAAGTGATAAGTGTTGGCCAGTTCTTGGTTTAAATGAATTGGTTTTTGATTTCCAGAGCTCTGTAGCAGCATGCTAACACCCTTCCTTGTGCATAGTTGCAGCAGATGATGCTAATCCTTTCTCTGAATTAGTTGCTCTTAAAATACTAACCTCCTAATTCCTTGATAGGATTGCGGACCTTACACAAGCTCTAACTATACTAGTGTACTTCATGCTTCATCGTGCTGTACCAAGTGTGTGATGCATGTTCCTGTACTAACGCTATTATAGATCTAGTGAATCAACACCTAGCACCCCGTTCCTGCAACAAAAGTGAAGTGTTGATAAACTGAACTCTTGCACTGTGCCATCAAGACATTTTTAGCATGATACAATAACCCTTGAAAGCATTGAGGGTCAAGCCTTGGGAGTAAGAAGGCAGATGTGGCTGATTTATTCAAGGATTTCTTAAAGTGTTTAGCTGACCACAATAGTTTCCAACTCTCTCAGTGAGAGAAAGTTAATCTCGCTAACAGAGGAACAGAGTGAACTATCTGGCCATGAGACAAGAAATGCCAGTAGATTGTCAGGCCATCTGAAGTAACTTTATGTGAAACACACAGATAACTTCAGAATAATCCAAGTTACCAATTCTGAAAGCTAAGGGCCTGTCTTCCCTGCTTCTGTGTGTACACAATTTGTTTACTCAGTGTAATTTGAATGGTACTGAGGGAGTTGATTTTGATTTCCCTTGGCATGCAGGGATGGAAAATCAGGCACTTAATTTTAAAATTGCTGTTAATGACAGGGTGACCTCTTGATTCTAAACCTGTATCTAAAAAAAACCAAACCAACAAAACCTCTACTGATGGAATATGAACAAATTTATTTTTTCTGTGTGTGTGTATATATATTAAGCCAAGACCTTTATACAGCTCATAGTTGAGGAATACTAGGAATACTATTTTTACTATACAGTAATTATCTATAGTTTTTACCTGTATCTTATATGCCAGATTCATTATTTTTATTTGTATGATCTATGATGCTGGCTTAATTTGCTTGCAGTGTGTCAGAGTTATGATAATTTTGGTAACACAGTGAAGCTTTTAGGTGTTGTAATTTTAAATAACTCGGCTGGTTCCATGTTTGGTGGGACTTTGTTCTTGAGGGAAGGATGGAAGGGAATGAAGTGGTATCCATAGAGAATGTAGAGAACGCAGCAAACACCAGGAGCCCAGTTTTCAAATATGGACATCTCTATGCTTCCTGTGCAAGGAGGACCTGGGTGTCTACAGATCTGCAGAACCAGTTGGGATAAGTGGGCAGCTTCCACTTGGCTCCAGGGGTTGGAGCTGGTCCTGGCTGCGTGGACACTCTTTCTTGTAGAGTGGTCTTTACGGGG